CGCTTCGTAAATAGCGGCTCTAGGTAACAATTCGTCTCCGCTCTTTCCATCAATAACGGGACTTAGTGGGCTGCGTCTCTTGTGCTCACCGTTCGGTGACAATTTTCTTCCAAGTAATCCTATTCCTAGGCTCGATATCGACGTTACGTTTAAGAATTTTGGCCTGCAAACAATTTATTTATTCATTCTAAAATTTATTATATTTATATATATATATATATATAAAAATCACACATTATAAATGGCAAAGAATTATTAATTATCACACCTCGACAATTTATTGGACAGTTTGGTGGAATTGTGAAGAGCGGATTCAATTTCCACCATAGAAGAGATCGACGATACGTTTTCATCGGGGCTATTTGTAGTGCGAAGTGCCGATAAAGGTATAATTGGCGAAGGTGTTAAACTTCGAGAATCTATCATTCTTGTGTATCTGGAACGAATAGAAATGATAAAGAAATCTTGCTTAATTGATTAATAAGGAATAAAAAAAAATCGTACCTTCCAGTTTCTTCGTTGCCGTTCTTCCGAGGCTCTTCGATCACTCCGCTCGAGTTCATGGTGTCGTAATGAGGTTGAGAATTGACCACAACCGTATTACATATCGCCAATACGATTAGAAATTCTTGAAGATGTTGCCTAAATGTACCTATAAGAAGATCTTCCTTCAATCGCGAAGAAGGTATCAAATTTTCACCATCTCCGCCGTGCGAATAATCCTGTCCACCCACGGCGCACCGTCTAAACAGCATTTTATTTTCAGTGAGCGTGCCAGTTTTATCAGAGAATATATACTGCACCTATATTAAGAATAAAAAAAAAAAAAAGAAGAAAAAAAAAAAGGGAAAAAAAAAAAGGAAAAAAAAAGAAAAAAAAAAAAGAAAAGAAAACAATTCCCCTCTTCATCGAGATCATCAGTTGTGAAATGGAATGGAATAGAAATCGATCATGTCTCACCCACCTGACCCAATTCCTCTGTAATGTTGAGCGCACGGCATTCGGCCGAGCGTCCCGTCTCCGAGTCGTAAAGGGCGATATCGTGTCCAATGTGATAAACCTGGCCAACTTTCGCCATTTCGAGAGTGACGTAAAGGCTTAAAGGTATCATCACTTGGAGAATAATGACGAACGTCCAGAACGTTAGCATACTTTCGTAATAAGCATCCTGGAGGATCGGTATGAATGGGACAAACGTTAAATCGGAATATTCGGATAGCCAGAAACGGCAACCGGCCGCCCCTATCACGCATAAAACAATTAAAATCGCCACACACCATATAACGTCGCTGTTCATCCGTTTCTCCAATCTTGAACGCTGAAAAAAAATATATATCCCTCTCCTCTTTATATATATTTTATATATAACAAATTTTAATTTATCAATTATTTATTTAAAAA